TTCAAATAAATTTTCAGACTATGCTCCACTTTTTCAACTTCTGAGTTAGGAGTCATCCTTCTTCACTGAGATGAGACATACGGTGATTGGTATCTTAAACATGTCTCCTTCCTCAGCCCTCAAGGCCTGTTGAATCATCCACTGGGATGGTTATGGTCTAATTGAGAATTGATTGCACATTGAAGAGCATAAGTGGAATATTAGAATCATTGCTCATTGTTTCCTGAACTGAAGCAACGATGCCTTGAAAGAAACCATGAGACCTGTTTCATTGCAGAGCCATACTTTTTGTCTTCATTAGTTTCTTCAGCCTATGATAAAAAAATCAGATTCTTGAGCTGGGAAAAGCGGCTAATACCTTGTTTTCAAGAACTGCATGCAGCTGAAGAATATGTCCTAAATAGAATGACTAGAATGCATGTTATGCTTGGATTTTTCAAATGTAAGTTGAAAGTTAAACCCACATGGAAATGGTTCAGATAAAGAACCTGTAATGTGGTCAGTGTTTCTGAAATTATAGCAGGTATTTTAGAGGTTTAAGTATTAGTAGGAAAAAGTTAACACAAATACCTCTCTCAGTTAGCCAAATATGCCCCCCTTGTAAGGGGCCAGCAAAGAATTTCCCATTTTCTAATCATCACCCCAGAAAAAAAAAAAAAACTAAAAAAAGAAAAAAAAGAGAAGAAAAAACACCATAGATTTTCCTGTTGATCATATTACACCTTCGCAAAAAATGTATGTGCTTTTCTTTGTTTGATGTATGATAAAGTGAACCAGAAGCATTTAAAGTTTCTGTGATTATCTATCCCCATTTTAGTTAACAGTAAACTGAGCACAGACTTGAGTGGATGAATATTTTGTTCTGTAGTTTTTCTTGCTCATGTGTTATTAAGCAACTGCATGATCTGCAACTAAAAGGTAGTTGTTTCTTTATGTGTATAATGCTAGTGCCGGATTTTGTACTCTTGGCAGAAATCCAGCAGAATGTGAATGAGACCACCAAACTTTTTTCACAAAAGTAACCAAGTGTTAGTCAAACTATTTTCTCTCCTTCTTTTATTCCCCACTCAGTACTAATTAGGACTAAACTTGTGAAGTAAAGATATAAATTATATATCACATTAATAAACTTATGAACTGTCAGGTTTTCTTCCTTTTGGGCATTCTGGCTGGAATTAACAGTGATTAACTTTTCTATTAAAGTATGCTAATAAAAAGTATCCAGAATTTACTAGTAATCACTTTCATTTTGTAGGGTATCTATCATTCTGGAGTTTACTGATCCAATCTTTTTTGTTTTGGTTTGGGTTTAATGTTGTGGGGTTTTTTAATACTTCTGATCAGGCATCTTGATTTTTGCAGGGCTCTCTTGCTGCTGATCATTTTCTGAATAATCTTGCAGATTTTGATGATCACTGTCTTTTTCATCCGGCTTTAAAACTGTTCCTCTTCATGTATCAGAACATTCAGAACCTTTTGAAATGCACTAATGTCCTGGTTTCGGCAGGGATAGATTAATTTCCTTTCCTAGTAGCTGGTACAGTGCTGTGTTTTGGATTTAGG